ATTTACTACATTTTTATTAATTTTATTGCTGCTTGATAGGCCAATTCCAATTCTTTAACCTAAATAAAATGTAATAATGTATAAATTAAAGTTGTATAACAAAAGTATTTTAATTTTTTAACTTATAATTTTTAAAATAATTTATTAATAAGATCAAATAAATATACTAGGCATTTATTAATATTTTTATATGCATGATTAAGGTAAAATTATATTGCTGTCCTTTGTAGGCTTAATAATTTCAATAAAAATGCGAGAAAATTGTTTAGAATTTTTTATTAACTATATTATACTGTTTGTGTTATATTCTAAAATATAATATTATGTTTTAATTAGAGGCCTGCAATATGCAGGTTTTAGTCAACAAACACACCCACTCGTTGTTTTCTTATTTTTTAACCCTCCCGCATACTTTTATTTTTTAACCCTCCCGCTTACTTTTTATTTTTTTAAAAATTTGTTCACCTGCCCATTTATTTATAAATTTTGTTTAACCCCCATCCACAATGTTTGAAAATTATTTTAATGGCTGGTTTGGCTCTATTTATTTTTATAATGTATTTTTAATTAAACATATATAATGTGCAATATTATGAAATAAAACTATTATTTTAATAAATTGAAGTCTGTTCTGCTTATTTCGACCGAAAAGTATTAAAGATTCACTCTCTCACGCCTGCCCATTACTTAGAAATTTAATATAAATAATAATAATTCTATTAACAAGTAAATAGTATCTTTTTTTTGAAATATATTACAGTGTTATGATGATTTAATGAAACATATTGACGTTTAAATTCAAACCTATTCATATAAATTTATAATATTTGCAAAAATAATTAAAATAACAAAAGGAATAAAAAAAGAAATTTCAATAATACTTTGTCTATATTTTTATATTTTTGCAAATATTATAAATTTATATGAATGGATTTGAATTTAATCGTCAATATGTTTCATTAAATCATCACAACACTGTATTATAAATTTAGTTTATAAATAATGACAATAATTTAAATGAAGAAAGATTATCACAATAAAAATCCTTAGATAATAATGATTTTATTGGTGTATGATTATCATTTATCACAATGAATATCTATAAGCAAATTATAATTTTTAAGTATGAACTGAAATGAAAATTATAATTATTAATAATTAAGTATTGTGAATAATGATATTATTTTAAATGGTGAGAAATCTGATTATCACAGAAAATCCTATGAATTTGTTGAAAATAGATAACGTAGATTTTTAAAAACTCATGCCTGAAAAGTTGTAAAAAGTGGATATATAAAATTATAATAACGATCCGACTATTTGTAATTTTCAAGAATATACGGATAAGATCAATTATAGATTTATTTGAATATTTTATATGCAATGATTAAGGTAAAATTATATTGCAGTACTTTATAGGCTCAATGAAATTTATTTATTCTTATACATATGAATAATAACTAATCACATATAAAATATAATTAATAACAAACAAAATATTCTAAGAATAATTTATAAATGTAATTATAAAAATTTTTACCTTTTGTTTGGTTAGTCCATAATTTTTATAATATTATCTTCCTTAGGGCCTTTATGATGTGAATATCCCATTGTAGGTAATGTAATTTTCCTTCTTCTTTTTTATTGTAATTCCGGATGACTAGTAAATGGTAAAATGCGCTATGACATGTCACATCCATACTATGACCAACCATGGCCGAGCCCACTAATTTTATAAATATTCAAAATCATATTAATTCATGTTTTATGATTCTAATAATTTCATATTAAAAAATAGGGTTTAAACTTTCCTAAATTTTAATTTATTTAAATCTTTTTTAGCCAATCATGTATGACGGAATTATCTGTTAGATTAAAATTTTCAGTCTTATAAAATAATAGCTCAAATTATAATTGGAGTGACCTAACGTCTCCTGTACTCAACATACCAGTCTCCCCCACTGACACTAAATTTTTGAAGATAATTTTCACATAAAAAAAGTTCCCTAAGGACTATAATTTGTTTTCGTTAATTATACCATAATCATATTATTTTAGTATCAAATTTTCCAAAGGTGATACAAGCCTATACTTATTTTATGCTATAATTACTAAATTATCAAAGCTACAGCCAGAGGCATTATTATAAAATACTATATAAGATTGATTTTTTATAATAATTTTCATTCTATTTATTCAGTTTTGCAAATAGCGCGTTTTTCTTGAAACTATACCAAGCGTGATGGATGCAGATTATTTAAAACATTTTGCTGGTTATGTTAGGCCGTTTCCAGAAAGTTTAGTGTTATTAATTCTAGATAACCATATTTCCCACCAATCTCTTGGTGCTATTGATTTTTGCTTAAATTCTTGCATCATTTTATTATCATTACCTCCACACAAACTCATACTTGACAGATGCATTTTTGGACCTTTAAATAAATATTATAATTTCGTAGGCTTCTGAATGCAAAGCAATCCAAATAAATTTTACTATTTATGATATTCGAATGTAGCAAAAGGTATATTGCCCCTCATGAAAGTAGCAAAAGATATATCCCACTCCTTAACGATTAAAAACATTGATAAATCGTTTGAGGCAGCGAGTATATATCTTTTTTATTCTGATATATTTGACGAAAATGATTATTTACCTATAGTTTTTTGAGACTATTAGAAATATATATCCCTGTAAATTTAGATAATAACACCTTACTAGCCTTAGAGCCATAAGATTCTACAATCTCTCAAGATTTAATGATACAAGCCAATATAAAGAAGATAATTTAATTGATGTTGGAAATATATATCCATTTCCTGAACTAACACAAAAAAAGAAGGAAGCAGAAATATTTACATCTTCACCCTATAAAAAGATGCTATATCAAAAATCAATAATAAAAAAAACAAAATATCAAAAAAACTTATGTTACCTATGGATAAAAAAGCAATTTAGATCCACCATATATATTGAAAAATAAATATAAATATTTGCATTATATGTCACAAAAAATATAAAATAATTATGAAAAGAAGATTGGTACCGAGCAAACGGAAGTTTTGTCAAATTTGATAATTTTTTTTATGTGCAATAAATGAAATACTTATTTTTCAATATGTTTAACAATTTTCAGAGTTGTTAACTCCTTTTAAAAAGTAGCTAGCTCTCGCTCTTACCTCTCAAAAGGAGCTAGCTCCTGCTCTCGCTCTTACCTTCTCAAAAGGAGCTAACTCCTGCTCCCCTACTAAATTTTTAATAGGAGCTAGCCCCAGCTCTAAGTATTGGAGTGCCACTCCATAGCCTTTTCTTAGATTTTCATTTTTTTAAGAAAGTACCCGAAACAAAATCACATTTTTTTTATCAAAAAAGTTTAATTTATATTAAATGATATATCAAAATATTTATAATCTTTTATTAGTTTTTAGTAATAAATTTTCTAAATTTGAATCTTAGCCCTAATATTCGTTTCATTGGGATCATTAGGATCTAACTCTTTCAGAAGAGAAAATTTTTTTTGTATGATGGAAATGGTAATGCGATTTCTTATGTGATGTCTGGATCCATATATCAAAACTATTTTTTATCATATATCATCTATAAAATGAATATTATATTAATACGATATACAAGATTTTCCAAGAAATTTTCAATATAAAAAGAAAGAAAAACTTGATGTTTAAATTTTAACTGATTAGATCAAAAACCATCAATATAAAACTCTGCTCAACATTTAATATTGCATAAATTTAAATAAAATAATATTTCATTTTTATTGAATTTTAATTAACAAATAAATAGATATATTAATATTTAAAAAATAATTTAATTTATACCTTAAATTTAAAAGATCAATGGAGCGGCGTTCCTCCACTCCAACCCTAAAAGGAATAGTTTCCGCTCCTGATTTTGGAGCGCCGCTCCTTAACAACTGGAAATTTTATATTTACCAAATTAGATTTCATAAATTTAGCGAAAATTTTTTTTATAATATTATCAATAAAATCAAATGTTTTAGTCGTGTCTTACTGCAATACCGATTTAATTTTTTCTTAAATTTATTTAGACAGACCTCTATTTTATCAGTGTACCAACTATCTCATATGTGTGTCCCAACTTACCTGAAGAATGTCATAGTTGGAATTTTTTTTTTAAAAAAAATAACCTATACTTTTGCGATTCAGGAAGTGTTTTACTTTAGATTAGTCTAATATTGTTGAATTTATTTAGGTTTGAACGAAAACTATCCCAACCATTCTCGCTCTCCCTACTCATCAAGCAAAAAATATTAGCGGGTACCAGATATTTGGCTTTTCTAGACCTATGGCATAATGTCAATTCTAATCATATTTTTATAATTTGTTAATAAGTTTTTTTTACTATGTACCAAACGGTTTAAAATAATATACAGAATGTTCTGTACACATTCTGGGGAGGAACTGAGGAACAAGTATGCAACGCTATCGGAATGGGAACTATGATTCAGAGAACATTTCGAAAAGCGAAAATTTAATTTAATATATTAATAAATTTTTTAAAATATATCCAGACAGGGTGGGCCTAAAAATTTTTTAAAAAATACCTGGGCCTGGTCGAATATTTTAAAACCAAATATTTTAAATCCCATTATTAACTATTAAAATTAAATATAATATATTAAAAAATCCGGACCGGGCCTGAAAATATATAACCCAGACCTGGCCGAAATTTTTTTTAAAAATAATCCTGGCCATGCAATTGGTATCCCTGCTCTGATATATAATAAAACAAAAACTATGACACATTTTGAAAATATCAACCCGATCGGATTTAAAAAATAAATAATATTATAAAAACACAGTCCTTATAATAATATAGTTTATATTAGATTTTTAAAATGTGTCAGGCCTACAGATATAATTATTAATTAATATATAAATTCTGCTTGATTTTAATATATTTTTGAATATTTTTATCCTTGCCAATGATTTTATTCTATTCTTATAATTGAAAATTTATTTAGAGAAGTACATCTGAACTTTCCTCACATCAAAAAAAGATTTTTGAACTTGATGACAATTTGGGTGTCTCAATAGCCGGATTAACTGCAGATGGAAAAATTTTAACGTTAGTTTATTTTATTACTATTTTAAATAGTGAATTAAATTTTATTACTTTGTTTTGAATCAAATTTATAAAATTAATTTAAGATATTTATTATGCCTTAATTTTTAAAATATATTTTATTTATAATAGAGATACAAGGTCTTAGGGTTTCAACTGGCCTGATTTTAAATATCCATGCTACCAATTACAGCATGAACAATATTGCTGAAATTAGTCATTTTTTTATAAATGGTTCTCCTGCCCATGGCAAATTTTTTAAAAAATGATAACTGGCCAAATTGGAAATTTTTGTGATAATGGGCAGGGCAATTTATGCATAAAAAATTTTTCTTAAAATAAAATAAATATGTATATTGTAATTTATTTTTAAATAGTATTAATCAAAATATTAGCATGCCCAGGTTAGCCTATTTAATTTTTACCTAAAATTAGAAATTCGCTACGTCCTGCTTGATATTTTATGTATAAATTGTTCAACAACCTGGTGCAGCCCAAATTTTTTTATGCTCTAATTCTCGACCTGGCTCATTAATCATTTTTTCCTGGTCCAGTCGATTATAAAAATTTTCTGCTCAAATACTATTGATTTTAAAACAGCAGAATGATAGCATGGAGGAGCGATATAAGGGCCTTAATACATTGGTAAAATTAGAGATAGATATAAAAAATCGGATGGCTGGAAAATTCGTGCAAAAAAATTTAACTGGTTGAGGTGCACTTTTCCTAGAACTTTAACGGACCGGGTAGGCAAATTTAAAAAAAAATTATAATTGGTCGGGCCGGAAAAATTTTAGTCAAGCTGGATTTGGAATTTTTTTTAGTAAACCAGGCTTTGCAGACCTCTAATAATTTATATTTTTTTTAAAGTCTAAGAGTTACATTCTATTTAGACTGCTAGTGAGAATTTTCCAAAAAGAAAAAAGGCGATTAGAACACAACTGATATAATCTAATATATAATCTCCATAATCAAAACATGATCGTTTTCGTATCTTCCTAATGTATTTAAAATTTAAGGAGACTATATAGTGTAATGTTATTTTTTTGCTCTCTACGAGAGTCGAGCCACAAACCTCCCGTTTCAAAGCATATTTTTTAAGCATGCACCAACTTGAATATAATTAAATTAAAAATATTAATTATATAAATTAATAGCTGATATTTTTAAAATTTTGCCGTTTATTACCATATAGCTGACGGGGTTGATGGATAATTATTTAGTTTGTGTGTATGGTACTAAATATACTTTATTAATAAATTTTATATAAATATTAAAATTTTAGGAGAAAAAGAGGTAAAATTGTTGCAATGTATACCGTGAGCATGTATTAGAAATATCAAAATTTAAATTTGTGATGGAAATCAATAAAATTTAAAATAGAGATAGATGCTTTAAGATTTTTGAATCTTAAATATGGGTTATACATTGGCCTGAAAATTTTTTTGCAGACATAGCCAGGCCTGATCAAAAACCAAGTCAATGCAACTTTCATAAAATTTTGCCATTTATTTTTATTGTAATTTAATAAAAATGTCTTAAATATAATTTTATATTTAGAATTTTAGATTTGTGATAGAAATCATATTGGGTAAAATATAAAATAGAAATGCTTGAAAATTTTAAATATGGGCTAGACATTGGCCTGAATTTTATTTTTTCAGAAATCGCCAGGCCTGATGGCCTGATTAAAAAACCAAGCTCATGCAACTTTCATATTCTGATTTTATTTTTAAATGAATTATGACTTATATATTTTATTTCAGTTCTCAACTAACAAAATTATTATGGTCTTTGGCGGGCTTGAGAAAATTTTCCCAACAATATGGTTTTCAGAGATTTACCTATCTCCAGGCTTGGGAAAAAATTACAAAATTATTATGGTTTGGCCAGGTTTGAGAAAAAAAATTTCAGGCCAATGTCTGGTCCAAATTAAAAAATTTTGAAGCTCTCTATTTTTAATTTTACCCAATAACTATCACAATAAATTAATAATATCCTGAATGCTCACGGGTTACTTTGCAATAATTTTTTTTCTTTTTCTCCTAAATATTAATATAAAGCATTTAGTGCCATATACACAAACTACCTAATTACCCCTCAACCCGGTCATTCTTCACGGCTTATTAGCTAGTAAACTATTTTTCAAATTGTAGACACGGTGGCCATATACAACAGTTTAACTAATTCAACGGGCTTCCCTAAAAATGCGGATTTACAACAAAATATTTTTAGTGAATGGGGTGTGGGCTTCTTTAAGATCTCAAAAATATAATAGAAGGTCTTTCTAATCTTATTTTTAACAAACTTAGTATTAGCATTAATTTATAAACATTTTACATTTAAGGGAATAAGATTTTGAATCTTTTTATTTCTACAACCGAAACCCACCAGCAATTAACTGAATTAGAATTAATTAATTTTATTCAATCAATATTCAGTTAAATTTAATTTTTACAACTTTTTTTCATAAGGCTGCTCTTTATCATTTATTTCCTTATTTATAGTTAAAAATTTTACATACTAATACCAGAAAAATAATTAAATTTTTGTAAGATATTAATAGCGTATTAACTAACAAATTTTCATACTTACACTCAGAAGCTATAAAAATGTCATTAGCATTTAATGAAAAATTGTCTGAAATGTTTTAACCAGATCTACATAGAAAGCGGAATATCTCACCAAATGATAGGTCGCAAGAAGGAAGAGTATTTTGATGAATGTTTAAATAGGCATCCAAGTAAGCCCATTGACATCTTCAGGATTTAAATATTTCGGGATACCATGCACCAAATTATTGGAAGTCATAAATCGACGTGAATATTTTCTTCCAAAAAGAAAAGAAATTAATAGTGTAGATATAACGGATTTGAATAAGATTTCTTTTTATCAATAGTACATGGGAATAAGACAAAGGGATAAATTAATTTACTTGCAATAAATAATTTATAAGATTTGTATAATGACTGTACCTAGTGAAAACTAAGTGCCTTTGATACAGTACTATGTTATGCAACACATATACGAATATGAAATATTCTCACATTTTTTCCATTTAATATTATTTTATTTTTTTTACCGCCGAATGAATTATAAATAATTATTCTCCTTCCAAACATTATTATAAGATAGATTGGATATATATTGAAACTATTTCAACTATTGAAATTTCGAAATAAATTTTGACCGTCAGTAAGATTTTAAATTTTCATAAAAGGTTAAAGAGTGATTGGGATTACAATAGAGCACTCCTCGTTTATTATAGCACAGTAACAACTTCACTTCATCTTTGCTGTCCCAATCATTTATACCACTATTGTTTCCCAACTCCTGATGTTTTCGAAATAGACTTTTAAATTGAATATTTATAATTTATTTTAAATATGACGATTTCTAGACCATTCGCATGGTTATATAAAATGGTTAATTGATTTTACTATCTTGGTAAATTTTTCTTTTGATTTTGTATAAGGGTAATAATGAATCTATTCGAAGAGTTTATAGTATAGAAAATTCTAGTCTTTAAGATGGATCATGATTAGACTTGAGATTATATGATACTTTTATTTTTCTTCATTCACATGGCTAGATTTTCTTTTTTAGTTCAAAATTTGTTTAAATAAATATTTTTATTTATACTAATTATTTATATATATATACAATCCGAAATTTAATATCTGTTATATTTATTATATCTTGTGTTATTAAACGGCTCAAATCGAGTCGTTTAAGAACACTAATTATATCTATAGTTATTTACTATATATTTGTAATTGTATCTCTTGATTCAGTGAGCAAAAATGTTAAGGACTTATAATATTTATATCTCAGGGTCATTCCATGTCAAATAGCCCCTTTCAATTTTTATAAAAATTTATAGGCACTTTATCTATGTTTACTTATATCATAGCTCATTAGAAATTATATTATTTGAGACAATGTGGATTAAAAATACAAAAACCATCTTTTTTACTCTTTATCGATGCAAAAACTAAATTAGTTGGATATTAAATCGAATATTAATAATTGCTAATTATATGAAGAAAACATCAAAATTATTTTTTTTATGGATCATCTCTTATTGCCAGTAAAAAATTATAAATTAATATCTTTCCTATTTTATTACTATTTTTCTAATAATTTCCTCTTGATAGCGGTTTAGGTAATTATTTATAAAAATATCGCAAATATAAAAACTTATAGATGGCGCTATATACAAGCGTTGCAATGCAACTACTTTTAATTGTTTAAAAATAGGAAATATCATTGATTTAAAAGTAGTATTATATATATTTAAAAAATTTTTATGATATTTTTTATTCTGGTTAAAATAAATTTAAAATTTTTTATTCGCTTGATATTACTCAAATCATTTATAATACTTTAAAATCAGGGGCCCGGAATTAAGGCGATTCTGCGTTTATTTTTTATTCCGGCTAAAAATATGTTCCGTTTCCGTTTTGTTCCATGCTTCGGAACGTTGAGGAATGCCATCTTAAAAAATATCTAATTTTATTTCTACTTTATATTATATTAAATTACTTTTTACACTATGTAGTACTAATTTAGATATTTTCTGTTATTGTGTTAATATAAATTTGGAAAAAATTATATATATTAAAAATGTGTTGGCCGGAATATTCGTACAAAAAATATAGCGAACTGGAATGGTTTGTAAAATATTAACTAGCAGGTCCTGATTTTTCCTGAAATTTTAAAGGGCCGAGCCAGGCCACTTGTGAAATAATTCTTAACGGTCTTAGCGCACCGGGCCCAGATTTCTAATAACGATAACATTAACGTCTCTAACTTTTTATTGAATTATAAGGGGAAGCTGAAAATCTCAATTTTTCTGTTAATTTGACATGGAATAGTGTTATATGTCAATCAATGCTCATTTTTTAGGCCATACATTTATAACGATTAATGAACAATTGGTAAATAAATAGACATGAATTAGTAATATAATACTTACAAACTTATATTATTCGAGGAAGCGG